CCCACACAGTACACAGAGATATGGCTTCCAGGTAAGTTCACTTCCACTGGCTATGGCGACGGAGCGCCCCAACATCTCACTGTTCACACACTGGATCACCCTGGATATCCCACACACGACACTCTGCACACGCACGCAACACACACACACACTACTATAGCTATGGCAGCGCTAGCTGCCACTACCCTATCGCTATACTACACTTCTCTGCCCACTTCGACTTCGGGCACACTGCAGACCTCCTCGCACAAGACGCTGAGGCAGCGCTTCCGCATGGCTTCCGCAGGAATGAATGAATGGCTGGGCGCAGCCTCTTGATTTATACTTTTGTGCCTCGTTGGTCTGCCCTGTTTCCCTGGCCCACGGTGCACACAGTCCTAGACGGTACTTGCTTGACTGGACCGGACTGACTGAACTGGGACTGCTGACTCTGCGTGGTGGACTTCCACCACTTGCCCACTGGCCTCTACCTAAACTGGGGCTAACTCCGAAAGGCCACTTCTAGAACCATCTGCTTGGCCTTTCGGTACTGTAGCAGCTACGACTCTGCCCTTTCAGGTAAGTAGCAGCTACGACATTGACCCTTCGGACAGTCTACAGCTACGACCTCTGGACTGTCTAGACTCCTACCCGACAGATCTACAGTTCGAATCTCCTATACCTTGTAACCTACGAGATCCTACCTACCACTGGTGGTCCTACAGGTCGCAGGTTCAAATCTACGGGTTGACACAGTTACTGTACACAGGTAAGGTGAACTAAGGTGGGGAACTAGGGATCGAGCCCTGGGATCTGCATCAGCTACTGCGAAGTGGTGAATACCGTTTCACTCCCACCGGCCTAAATTCGAGGTCCTCCGAGAAAATTTCAGTCCAAGGCAGGACCTTTACCTTTCTGTTGCCTCTCGTAGGCCCGGACTATATCGGGAGCTGTCTCTAGAAGTTCAGATCTCGTAAACTAGCGGTCGTCTTCCGACTCTTGATAACTAAAATGAACCTTGTACTGTTTCTGTGGACGACCTCTACCTCCAGTCCTGAATACATCTTCAGCTACTATGCCATCGATGTCATACCTTCCATCCATATATGGCGGAATCATAGACCTACGGGATGGAAACTGATCACTTGTTTGACAAGGTAACAACTTCGATGCATGGAAAACTGGGTAAGTGTGGAGGTGTGCTGGGAGTTCTATGGTATAGGACGGTCCATCTTCGCCGCCTTTGACTTCCAGAACCGGCCACGGCCCTCTATATGTAGGCAGTAACTTCTGTGAAATGTTCTCTTCAGGCGCAAACTCTTTAGACTGGACCTAGACCAAGCCGCCTACTTGGAACTGTGAAGGGCGACGGTGCTTGTTCGCCTGTTCGATCATGCGGTGCTGGGCCTTCCTGAGATTCTCAACAACAGTTGCTATCTCTTGCTCGTGCTGAATCGCAAACTCCCTTGTACCGGGTGGTAGCCTGTGAATCTGGTCCCGGTTRAGTCCCTCAAACGGTCTTCGTGGTCTAAAGGACTTATGGAGCTCATTGGGAGTGCGGCAGGTTGACAGGTGCAGGCTGTTGTTGTATGCGCTGGCTACCTTGGGAAGCATCTCCCAATTGACTTGATCAGGCCTAATGTACATGCGCAGGACTTGCTGCCGGATCTTGTTCTTCTGTTCAGTCTGACCGTTCGTCTCTGGATGACGGCCAGATGACATCAACAACTTGGATCCGTAGACTCGCATCAACTCCTGCCAGTTCAGACTTGTGAACCGGGTATCTCTATCGCGAATTATAGACAGCGGAACCCCGTGTTCACTGACCCAATGATCAAAGAACTTCTGAATTACTAGTTCTGTTCTGGCTTCTGACGGCAAGGGAACAAAAATAGCATACTTACTAAATCTGTCTACCACAACCATAACTTGGCTCTTGCCATGCCTACTCTTAACGCCGGTGTGCATGAAGTCAATAGACACTGAATCTCCCGGCTGATCAGGGATAGGTAAAGGTCTGAGAAGACCTAAAGGGGCACACGTAGTTGACTTATTCCTTTGGCAGACTTTGCAACTGCGAACATACTCTATGCAGTCACTTTTCATTCCTGGCCAGGTGTATGCGTGCATCAGGTTGGCTAAAGTCTTCTACCAACCAAAGTATCCTTCGGTGTCGTGACATTCCCCTAAGATCACACTCCGGATCTCTTCACTGTTGGGGACGCACAAACGGTCTACTACGTGTGTCTTCTCAAACAACAACCCATCAGTAATGCGGTAATATGGTTCGGACTCTGGGGCTTCCTTAACTCTCTTAAGGAGCTCACTATAGATAGGGTCCTGCGCGTACGCTTCTTTAACTTTTTGTTGTAGGTCTAACCCTATATCTAGATAATGGACTATGGCCCCAAAGTAATCAGCTCTCCTACGTTATACTTCCCTTTGACTGGCTTGAGCTCAAAGTCATATTGATCTATTTCTGCGGCCCACCTAGTAAGCTTAGGTGTCATCTTGGCCTGCGTCTTTAACCATCGCAATGTCTCGTGGTCAGAATAGACTTTGAAGTGCCTCCCAAGCAAGTAGTGCTTCCAATGTTCTAATGCTTGCCTGAGAGCGTAGAGTTCCCTCTCAYAGGTAGATGTCGCCACCTTCTCTGAAGGCATCCTAGCGGACATGAACTCTACGGGTCTATAACCATTGCCATCGTCTTGCTGCAACACCGCGCCTATGYCRTACTGGCTAGCATCCGTAGTGACRACAAAGGGCAAGGACGGATCGGCTACCTTAAGGACTGGATATTCTATTAATGCCTGCTTCAGCTTCTTCATAGCAGATGTGCAGTCCTTATCCCACTTCCAGATGGTCTCCTTCCTGAGCAGTCTGCGAAGGGGCGCAGCGATAGTGGAGAAGTTCCTCACGAACTTCCTATAGTAGTTAGCTAAGCCCAAGAACGACCGCATCTCTGTTAGCGTACGCGGTGTGGGCCAATCTCTAATTGCTGCGATTTTGCAATCTTTTGGCTTAACGTCGTCTCCGTCTAAGACGTGGCCTAGGTATAAGACTTGGGTTATCGCCCAATCGCACTTCATTGCGTTGATCTTGAAGTTAGCTTCCCTCAGCTTCTCCAAGACCTGCCTGAGATGACCCTGATGTTCTTGGAGGGTCTTACTAAACACTAAGATATCATCTAAGTAGACWACWACAAATYTRTCTAACCATGGCCTAAACAAATCGTTCATACAGCGCTGGAACGTCGCTGGCGCATTGGTTAGTCCAAAGGGCATCACTATAAACTCATAGTGCCCATATCTAGTCAGGAAGGCTGTCTTATACTGATCATCAGGATGCACCTCTATCTGATGATATCCGGACTTCAAATCTATCTTGGAGAAGTACTTCGCCCCCTGCACTCGATCTAAAAGATCGTCTATCCTAGGCAGTGGCTCAACATTCTTCACTGTAATCGCATTCAGACCCCTATAGTCTATACACATCCTCAACTCTCCCTCTTTCTTGGGGACAAAGAGAACAGGCGCTCCAAATGGAGATGAACTCGGCCTGATCCAACCCTTCTCAAGGAGCTCGTCTAGTTGCTTGCGAAGCTCCTCTAACTCCCGCGGGGACATCCTGTACACCACACCCTTAGGAGTTCTACTGCCAGGCTCTATCTCAATGTGATGCTGGATGGGCCGCGGTACTACTCCTGTCGGCGGCTCAGCTAGATCTTTAAACTCCTCTAGCAGTTTGGCAATAGCAGGGTCTATAGGCGTCTCTTCCTTAGGCTCAGTCACTGGCCTAACATAGGCTACAAAAACCTGTTCTTCTAGGTGCTCCTTTTTCACGAATCTTGCGAATGCAGGTGCACTAAGGCAGCAATGAGCCAGGGGATTATCTACTCCTGACACATGGAACAGGCGGGCAGTCTTAGCCTCGCCTGAAGGACTAGGGAGCTTACACTCGTGCTCTTTCAAATAGAGTGTGGCCCCGACTGCCTCTCCCCAATCCATTCCCAGGACAATATCGAATGGGAGGGTGTCTTCTACGAGGAGAGTCAGGGAGTGGAGAACTTTCTCCACTTTCCCATCTTTCTCTAGGCGGAAATACGCCTGGACTCCCTCTACATAATCCTCTACAACCATTGTACGGTTGTCAGCGAGGATACTAACTATGGGGTCTGTTAGTTTCTGGACTTTAAGCCCCAGCTTCAACTTCTGCGGCGCTTTCCTACTAATATAGTTGCGGGTGTCCCCTGAATCTACTAGGGCCCCTACTCTACCTCTAAAAATCTCTGTATCTAGTAATATAAGCTGCCCTTTATTCTCCTTCTTCATCTTGGCCCAGGCGGGCATCCCCTCCTTCAATTCATCAGCCACGCCTGTGAGGGAGGTGTCTAGAGAGACTCTAACACAAGCAGTCTCTGGACAGTGATCTAGACATCGGCCTGCAACCTCTGCCATAGGCACATGTGGTGTGGGAGTCTCTTGCCAGCTAGTGCTATGTTCCCCACATGGCCTAATGGTAGGGGCAGTTGCTACCCCTACCCGCGGCTGCCTTTTGGCCCTTGAGCAGCCGTCCGGGTCTCTCTATACTTAGGACAGTATTTAATGATATGGCCCGGGTCACCGCAGAAAATGCACTGGCCCCGGTCCAGACGCTGTTGCCATAAGCTCTGGTCCAGACCTAGACTTTCCCAAGGCCTACCCTGAGGTAGCCCTGGGTGCCATCCACCTACCCTATAGGGAGACCTATTCCTAGGACGGTTTTGCGGGGGACCTTGACCCCTTCCTCCCGCTTGGCGGTTTCCTCCTCTGCCGCCAACCCCTTGATCGCCCTGAAACCGGCTCCCTGAGGCCTGGCCCCCTTGGCCCTGGCCTCGTCCTCCTCCTTGCGGCCTCCCTCCAGCCGCGACAGCAGCGTAAGTCCTCCCCTGGCTCACACCGCTGTCCTCCTCCTCTAACCCCCACTCAATCTGCTCGTAGGGGATCTCATCCACACTACCTTCATCTAAGGTAAGGACAAGGCTATCCTTGGTCTTTACTTGCCCTGAGATAGTGCGGCCTTTCCATTGCTTTCCTTTATCGAGGTCTTTGTGCCAGAAGGTAGAAAGTGACACCGACTTYGCCTCGAAAGCCACCACTTCACGGCTAAGGGAATCATAAGTGGTGGCAGGATCTTCGCTCTTCGCGAAGAACTGCCCTCGAAAGGCTTCGGGCATAGCCCGATAGAAGAGGCYGACCAATTGGGCCTCTGTGACCCCATGGTCAGGGACAGCCACCAATTCATYCATCGTACCCTTGAGTGCCCTGGCACTCTTCCATTTACGAGCGTGGATGGTCTGGAGCTTATCTGAGGCCTTGACACTGCGAGCGACATCAGCAAATCGCTCGCGCAGCAATTTCATGAAATCAACGAGGGGGGTAAACGATGAGTAGGCCACTGCATCATTGTTGCAGTTGGCAACGCGGACTAGGGACCTTGCGAAACTGGCGGCCTCATCTCTAAGCGCATGAATGGCAATTAACACGTGCTGATCGGGGGAGACCTGTTGCAGATGCACATAGGTCTTGACGTTGGCCTCCCAGTTGTCAAAGTTTTCTTCCCTTTTCCCACTGTAGGAATCAGGGAATTTGACTTTGACCGGCTCCCTACGAGGACGCGGCTCTTCCTCCTTGGGAGCTGCCACCTTGACGCCTTCAATGGCGCCAACACAAAAACGCTCAGTCTTCTCGAGGCGATGATTCACCTCGGCTCCCACAGCGCCTACCAATTCGCGGGCAAAGTCCCGGAATCCCATCCGCATCGAACCCACAACTATATCCTGGCTTCGGCTAAACTCATATTGCTGTTCTTGCACCCTAGCTAAATGCTCGACGCTCTGGGCGATGATCTGTACCTTTTGTTGGAGGTCTACCTGGGTGGTCAACTGAGTAGTTAAAGTTCGTACCTCCGCCAATTCCTGCATTGCTGCACTCGCCGCCTCCACTCTTCTTTTCTTCTCCCTCATCATTGCGAGTTTCCACACCATCCTCGTTTCATCTTCCATCGCCTGCCGCTTCAGAACATCTTCTTCTGCTTCCCATTTCTTCATAGCGACTTCTTGCTCATCCTTGGGGATGTACATAGTTACCTCTTCNTCCTTGGGGATGTACATAGTTACCTCTTCTTCTTCGCCCAGGGATAAGTTGGCGACCCACTCCGAAATCCGTTTCTCCATCTCTTCATCCTTGTTCCCACTGTGCTGCCCTCTCCTCCTTTGCAGTGGCGGTTCATCTTGTTCTTCCTCTTCCACCTCCTTCAAMTTCTCCTCTTCTTCCTTCTTCAACCCCTCTTTTTCTCTAGCCATCTCCTCCTCTATCTTCTTCAATTTCGCTGCTTGCTCCTCCTGCAGGGCCTTCTTCTTGGCCTCCTTCTCCTTTCTCTCCTGCAGGATGGCGGCCATCTTCTCCTCCTCCTCCTTCGTGTAAGGCTGGGTGGAAGTGCCACCCCGGGCTCCTACTCTACACGTGAAAGTGGACCAGAAGCCCAGAGGAAAGAGGAGACGCCAAAGGGTCCCCCAGAGGGAGAACCCGACAAGTAACCCATACATCGGATAGTCATCCATAGTGGTGTCAGGTGCACGACAAAAAGTCCCACTCCTCACCACTTAGACCTACCCGGACACTGACCCACTGACTGACTGACTCTCTAAGGACCACAGGGTAGAACCCTGTCAGCTATGGTCGCTAGCCTAGACCTACTCTAAGGCTGTCACTACTGAACCAATTGCTGATCTGGAGGCATTGAAGGAGATCCCCCTAACTCCGCAAGAATTCTTTAACGTCACAGACAGGACGACGTGATCAGCTTGGTTCTTGCCTGTGCTTTCAGCCCACAACTCAGCCTTTCCGGCCTACTGTGCCACACCGAGCAGCCCGCCGGTTTGTACCGGTCCTTGGGAGGGTTCGTATCCCCCGGGACAGTCGAGTCGTTAGACACAGATCATCAGCCTTACTAGGTCCGGTAGGGGAGTGGTTCAAACAGGCCCTCAACACTTAAAGACTGCCTGGTGTGTCAGCCTTAGCTGCCGTTCAGGCCCACTGAGTCCTACCAACCGTTTCCAGCCGGTCAGCACCGGTTCTTGGGAGGGTTAGGCCCCCTTGGAAAGTTGGATCAGCCACAGCATCAGCCCTACAAGGTCAGACTAAGGTTTCGTCATCCAAGCACTATCCTTCATCCACAGAGTGCTACCACTTAGGACAGAAGAGACTCGATGCAGAAAGGAAAGACAGACAGACTCAAACTCAGCAAGTACTGTAGGGGAAGTGCACATCCGCAGGGTGAGGGGGTAGGCTAAGGGCTTGGCGAGATGTTACCAACTCCAGCTTGGGCCAAGTCTTGGTCAACGGCGCCGGTCAACTCCTTGGTCAACGCTGGGTCAACTCTGCAAGGCCCTGGTGAACACCTCGGTCAACCTTTCGGTCAACGCTGCAAGGCCCTGGTCAACACCTCGGTCAACCTTCCGATCAACACCCGGTCAACCCTCCGGTCAACTCCCGGTCAACTCTCACCTCGGCTATGGCTGCCGACACCTTCACCTTCGCCACCCTGGTCTTCTCCTTCCTTCTCCTTCACCTTCTTCTTCCTTTCTTTCTTTCTCTTTTTTTTTTTTTTTTTTTTT